ATTAGATAGAAATATTGTATAAATCTAAAAAATTGGTTAGTGCTTATCTGGCTTTTGTGTCATTGTATATTAAGTAAATAAAGTATTTTAAGAACTCAATGCCCTCGCATTTAAATTAGGTGTGGATAACTTTACGATTATTATTATTTTTAGGCTCTTAGCATTAAAATATTATGCAAAGAAATTGACATAAGCAAGAAAATACTTATATTTAGAGTTTTCACAATGTCTGAAAGTGCATACCTGAAATCAATGATATATTATATAACTAGATGTCTAACTTGCGGACAAAAAGTGAAGCGGCTTTTTTTTGTTATGACAATAGTCCGCCATTTGTAAAAAGGCCAAAGCTGAAGCCGAAGTGTGGAATAAAAGTTAAAAATGCAAGTCAAAAGTTACCAATAAGTTAAAGATAATTCAAAAACAAATTTTAGTAATTATAAGATACTTACAAAAGTTTTTTTACGAGCCTATGTTTATTAAAAAGTATTTTAATTCATAAAAATGTCTGTCGTTTTACTTTTCTATTCAAAACTTTAATCCCTTTTTAATCGAAAATAAATTAAGGAGTCATAAATTATTATTTTACAAGTATTATAATTTCCGCTTAAGACTTTTACGTAAATAGTATTTAAATTTAAAATATATTTACTTCATTTAAGAATAGAAAAGTTTAAAATATTTGTTTACAAATTTAATCCGCTATTTGTAAAAAGAGCAAAAAGTGGCTTCACTTTTTGTAATGAAGTTAGACATCTAGTTATATAATATATCATTGACCTGAAATATCAAAAAATACTGAAGACTTCTCTGAATAAAACAGCATATAACAGTGTTTAACAACGCTACTCAATATTTTGTTCATGACAATCTGGACATAACCAATTCGTTTTTGGTTTATTATTCAACTTTAGGCATACCAAGTGAAAAAGTTTAGCTTTTGCAACTCTTTCCTGCATTTTGGACAACTCATCATTTTGATTGTCTTTCAAATAAAAAAACTTTAATTGTGACCAGCAGCAAGTCAAAATCTATAGATTTTGACTTGCTGCTGGTCACAATTAAAGTTTTTTTATTGAGTAAATAATTATTTAACTTTTAAGCAAAAAAGTACATTTTTAATTTTGCGAAATAATAATTCCAAAAAAGTTTCGTCAATTTATTCAAATAAACTTTACTTATTATTCTGAGTAGTTACTAAAGCTATATATGTCTTTTGATGTATTAGTTTTTAAATCTTTGTGTATATGCTTGTATTTATTTCTAAATCTTTGAATACCTAAATTTGCAATTTAGTTATTAAAAAATGCCTTTGCAATTGTAAAAACAATTTGCTTTCTTATTATTGCTTTAGTATATTTATACATTTTTATTTTATTACTTTTATATTTTTAATAGATCTTTATAACTCTTTTTGTTATTTGTTATAATATTTAATATTTAATTATATTAAGGGGATCTATGGAAAAGTTGAGGTGATATTGCATTATCCATATATTTTTTGAGTTCCCTCCTGTTTTTTTAATATATTTTGTTTATTGATATTTACCATGTAAAACTTATCTGTAGTTTATTTTAAAAGCGAAATGTAAAATGAAATAAAATAAAAAATAAAAAAGGGCTTTCTATATTTCTTTCTATATTTTGTAGAAACGCTTTTGCCATAACAACCATTAAAGTCAAACCTATAGGACCTGAATGGACCTTTCCCCATAAAGCAATGCATTATGGTATTTGTATGTACGCGGAAGTAAATAACAAAAATAAATCGAGTAAAATGTCATATATTGAAAGAACTGAGAATGTCTCAATAGACTTTAGTGTATTTTATTTCACACCTTTTAAATTCAAACTTTAAAAACTATATTAATGGAGTAAAATTTGCACTATATAAGACTTCGAAGAATAGATAACAACAAGTGCACCAAACAATGTATTTCAACTAAAAAACAAGCAAAAAAAAGAAGTCGGGATTTTGCATGTTTGTACCTAAATGCTTTAGCAACTAAGTAAAACATAAAAACTTATTGTTTAATGCAATTCCCAACAAAGAAAATATTGGAGAATAAAAAAAATATTAATTTCGTATAATAATTTTTACATACTTTTTCATCCTTTCAAATATTTTTTTAATCATAAACTGAAAATAAAATGTATTTAAACAAGGTAAAATCTTATTGAACCAGTTTTCATTTTCAAATTTAGTTGATTGCACAAAAAAAGTCTTTATCTTTGTATAGAACAAAGTCAATTTCACTCTTTTCTGTAAAAGATACCTTGACATTAGTAAAATTAACTGTTTTTTAGTTTTTGTTGTCTATTACTATTTCCATACAAAAAGTTTTGTTGGTACAAGCTTTATGTACACAAAGACTTCTTTTTTAAAAAGAGCACTTTACTTCAATTATTTTATTACAGCAGTCTTAGTTCATACACAACCCATCAGGGCTAGAACCAGCCATGACATTTAGGATTTATAACAAGATCACATTTTTTAACATCACAGTTAACTTTTACTTTAAACTTTTCATGAGCAATATCTTTATTTTCAAAACTCTACTAACAAGCTTGTGATAGTTAACTACTATCACAGTTTCTTATAAGCTTTTTTAACAATGAAGTTGGAGGAGTATTATTTCTACGGTTTTTAACTGTACCAAAACTTGATGCAGTAAGTTTTTTATTTTGTTCTTCAATCCATTTTTGTTTTTGTATTGATCTTTAGTTTCTGATGTAACTTTCTTAAAATTGATTAACATTATGGCAAGCTTTAATTTTCCTCAGTCAAATTAGTTTTAATTAAATGGTTCATACAGTGAAGAAATTTTTCCATTATAACTAGGCTTAAACTTTTCAACATTTTTTCATTTATTCGTTAGTAAATATTTCCCATAATGAGTTTGGTTAAAATAATTTCAATAATTAACACAGCGATTGTCATTCCTTAGTTTAATTCTATATAATAAAATATTTGGTTTAACTCTAATTTATTTTACATAGTTCTCTTTGAATACCTGATAACCAGCTATTTTATGTTTAGTAGCTTTTCTTTTAAAGTATAGTCTGATACTATGTAAGTAAATATGTTGATATGTTATCGGAAACAGAGATGTTGTCTTTTGACCATTAAATTACATCTTTAGAGATTATTTTATTTTTGCCGCTGTTAAATTCCTTGTTTGTAATTACACAAAATGTTGCATTTAGTGGAAAGCTAAGGACTTTTTAAAAAGCTAGATCTAGCAGTAACATTTATAGAGTTAGTTATATATTCTTTTACATATGTATACTTGTAAAATATACTTCAAACAAGCTTCTCTAACAAAATTTAACTTCAACTGGGTTGAAATATTTGTTTACATTACAATGCAGTTATTCTCCTGCGGAGATTTATGAAATATTTTGGCGTAAAATTTATGAAATATTTTGGGTAAATGTAATTAATTATAAGAGAGAAAACTATTAACTATGTACGAGCAAGTCACGAAATAATGAAAAATTAAAAAAACTATGGAATCGCGAGTTTTTGATTTTTCTGTACATACAAATACCATAATGCATTGCTTTATAGGGAAAGGTCCATTAGGTATTATTCGGATTTTGTTTTTATATTAAAAATATCAAATACTCAATGAAAATTCTATTTATTGATGTATGTCTACGAGCGAAAGTTTAGTTCGAGTCTTTTAAGTTGTCGATGTCATTATTCTATATTTAAAAATTACTGAAATAGATTTGTTAATTGTATGGATGTATAAATTAACTATATCAAATGAAACTTAAACTTTATTGGGATCTATTTTCCATAATAACAAAACTATTCAAATAAGTCTATTTTTGTTTTTGTTTAGTGTTGATTAAATGATATTAACTATATATATAAGGATTTTATATATAAGGATTTTCATATAAGGATTTTATTCTGTAATAGCACAAACTTTGGACCTAGATTGAGTAATTCAGTTGTTGCTTTATCCAAAATAACATTAGTTTTATTAAGTAAAGCAGACTTAACAACTTGGTTAGGTAAATATATTCTAAGAGTATTTTTTATATTCGATTTAGCTTTTAACTTATTATATAATATATATATACTTATTATTATAATATTTTTCTTTCATTTCCATTTTTTTTATATAATGGTAATTTTTTGATTTGTTATTTATGCTCTTAATTAGTTAATAGTTATTTATTCTTAACTAATTCTAAAAAATGTATTTATTTAATCAATTAATTTTTTACTTGAGTATAATCTGTGTTTTCCTTCATTACGAGCATGAAATAATAACTTATTTCTGCATTTTAATGTTTGACAAGAGTTAGGAACTGGCAGAATGTTCATCATAAGGATGATGGTGATAACGTGACAACAAAAGCTTGAGGACCATTTTTTATTAGATTATTTGACGTTATCTTTAAAACCTATATTGTATTTTCTCATGCTCTCTTTGATGTCATCTTTTTAACGGTTTGTTTTAATTAAAACGAAATTTGTAACGATTTTTGTTTATCATACCTGATGACGCTGACCAGCGAAATATTGAATAATATATATTAAAATAACAGCAACAAAAAACATACATCTTTTCAAAAAAGATTATACGCAACCGTATTTATTGAATTTTACAAAAAACATTAAATTTAGGGTCAAACAAGTTAATAAAAAAAAAATAAGAAAAACGTTTATGGTATTAACTTTTGTTATTTAGTTGTAAGTTTCGATAAAATTTTTGACTTAATTGTTTGTAATAATATTGATACTATTTTTAACTAAGTTTAATTAAGTTGTCTAATGTTTGTTAAAACAGTTGAGATTCGCTTCCGAAAAAGTAAGTTTCCAGGATCACAAAATATTTTATCACTTAATATTTAACGATACTTATTATAAAAACATATATAGAGTAGACTAGGCGCAGTAGTGGAATTATAATTATAATTAAACAATAATTAAAAAATTATAATTAAACATAATTACATAGTAAAAAATAATTTATTTTTACCTTAAAACAACAATATTGCATTTTTTTCAAACTTTCAAACTTTGGAAGTAAGATAACACAAAACTGACAAGAATTTGATATTAACAACATCTGCAACATTTCTTTACAAAAGATTAGTTTTGTTTTGTTATTTTGCTGTGTATTTGTTCTTTTTGATTGAGCTGTATTTAACTTGACACTTTGACACTTCAACATTTTAAACATTTAGATGTGTAAAATGAGCTTTTCTTTTAAATCTTCTGTATTCCAGGGTGATTGACTTAAAGGAAGGAGAAACATTTTTTTTAATCGATTTTATGTCAAACCATTAGAAAATGAATATAGATAAACAAATTAAATATAAAGATGAATCCTATAATTAAATAAAATATGGAAGGTCCTTTGCAAAACTGTTAAAATCTCCTAAAGTTGTGAAAAAAAAAAAAAAAATTTTAAAGATATTACTAAAAAGGTTATAACGTTTTTATATTTTTTTTCTTAAGTGGCTACATTAATACAGTTATATAACTTACTAACTTAATATAATTTGTATACTTTTTTTAAAAAGGCCGTCTCATATTACAATCTTTCAATAAAAGTTGAAAGTCATTTTTCTGTAATCTGAAAAACTTTTGTAAAGTAGATTCTTTCTTGAATAGACGCGTTCTAAAAATAACTGTGTTTCTAAGGACAAGGTTGTACGTGATTTTGTAAAGCGTTTATACTTTTGTTTTTAAACCGTTTTTTACATTTCGGTATATCATTTAAATTTTTAGCTATGTTGCTTATATACCCTTTTATAACTTTTTATTTTTAACTTTTTAAAAGCTTCTAAAATTTCAAAGCAAATAAGGAAGTCCTTTTATATTTGGTCTGTTTATTTTAGCTTTTTTGTTGGCTTTATTAGCGTTTTTCTATTTAACTTCTATCTAACTTTTTGAGGAACTTCTAAAAGATAGGGAGCATTTGTTCTCATTTGTTTTTATTAATGATGTTTATTGTTAATTTTTTCATTATTATTAAATTAAAAAAAAATGAGTAAAGAAGAAAAAAACCAATATCAATATCGCATCAAAATTTTAACTCGAATTTAACATTATAAAGTTACCGTAACACGGGGTTACTTAATGCCTCAAGCTCCTATTTTATTTCACCACTGAAAATATGAGTTTTATACTTCTCGTGACAGGGGCGGATCTAGAGGGGTTCAAAGGGTGCTCCAGCACCCGTCAACTTTCAATAAGTAAAGTTTCTTATTTTGTTGCATTTTCTTATAAATAAAAATTGAATTGTTAAAATAGTTTATTCAACTCAAAATTTGCGATTTCATTTTTTGTGAAGGAAGTCAAAAATAAATAAATAATTATCTTTGTTGTTGTGTAGTACTTTGCGTTCAGCGCTAGCGTATTTTATATATATTTATGCGTCAACTAGAAAACTCCCGTATAGTCGCATTCTGATTCGCCTGCTCCCCTCAGAATTATTTTTGATTGGCCTGCACCCCTCAGAAGCTATTTTTGATTGACTTGGTTTCTTAAACTAATCAAAACAGCTTGTGAGGGATGCTGACCCAATCAGAAAGATCTCTGAAGGGTGCAAGCCAATCACGCTTGCACCTAGAAAAAAGGTTTTTCACTAAGCTTTTTGTTAACTCGTAGGTTAAGTGTTCTAAACATGGCGGATTCAATGCTTCAAATCATTTTAAAATGTATTTTAGATGAAAATCAGAATCAATCAGAATCAGAAAAGGAATCGTTTTTATCTAATGTTATTGTCGAAGCTCATAATAAGATTAGAGAAATATTTTTGTTTAATGAAAAGTCTAAAGTAAGCTTATTGAATAAAATATGCAAAGTTTCAAGTATGCAGTTTCCCGTATCTCAATCATTTCGAGCATAAAGTGATTTTCAACCAGTGAGGAAATAATTTGTTGCTTAAATAATTATATTAAATTAAAAATAAAAAAAACAAACGAAGTATTTATGTATGTGTGTGTGTTTTGTTGATTAATGTTTAAAATAATAGCAAGTTAGGAAATCATGTATAGCCAATTATACATGATTTCTTAATTTGCTATTATTTTAACCATTAATCAACAAAACACACACACATACAGGGGCGGATCTAGAATTTATTTCTCCTTTGGCGATGTTTTTTTTTATATTACTCCCCCCCCCTTCCTCTTCTTTTTTTTGTTGTTGTTGTTGTTGTTAAGATGCTCTACAATGTCCTAATGGTCTTGTCACAGAGCACTGCCGCAAGGAGAATAGCATTTATAAGTTAGCTCTCCGTTTCCAACCTTACCGATACCGTTTATGTGCTTCGAGTAGGAATCGAACTCGCAACCCTTAGATTACGAATCCAATGCTCTAACCACTGAGCCACGATTGCTATAACACAATCCTTCCCAGACAATGGTACTCTAAGATACCAAATAAGCAGCCCCCTCTCCCAATTACTACTTGTGAACTCCCCACTAACTCGGATATATACTTTTAAAAGGTTTTTACTTGGCACCAGGGGGGCTCCCCCTATCGCTTCTCCGCAATCAATCGCTCCCTCTATATTATTGTTTTGGATTTTTTTTTTTAATACAAACTAGATTCTAGTCATTATCTTTTACATGAAACATATGCAAAATTTAAGGTGGTAGGGATGCAAATAAGCTACTTTCTGAAATTCGTCAATGCAACATAGTTTATGAAAACTGTTAAATACATTAAGAGAAACAATTTGCAAAAAAAAAAAATTTTTATTTTTAAACAGAAAATCCATAATGGCGGAAAGTTTGTTAATTTTGACCCTTACAAATGATGTTTTTAAAACATGGTATCTTGAAAAAGCAAAAGCAAAATTGAAAATCCTTTTGTCCATATGTATATTATTATATTATACTCCGGATGACCTTTAGGATTTGCATAAATCCTTTTACTCTAAGAGTTATTTAAGTTTTTGTGAAAATACTACTTTTTTTTCAACAAATATTCATACAAATTTTCACCTAAACTGAATTTTCTGAAGATAATAAGTGTTTTATGTAAAATCCATGGGTCATCCGGAGTATTAGATCATATTAAACACAAATTGAAAATTTCAAGTCAAATACTCAACTCTATCTCGAGTTATCATGTTTTGAGTTATAGCAAGTATGCAAAAAATTGAAAACAGAGAAAAATGCAAAACAAAAATAAAATGTTAAAAAAATAAGTATAAATAAATAATCTCCTCAGTAAGCACCAGTTTGATATGAATCTACAGATTCTTTTTCATTCATTTTATCAAAAAATCCTTTTTTTCTGGCTCGCAATCTTTTTCTATGCTTTTTCTCTGCAGTCGTGAACTTCTTTTCCATTCGCTTAATGCGTGAATTATCTAAATTTGTTGCAGTTGCCTTTGAAATTTGCCCTTTCAAACCAAAGTGTTCTAAAACATTCAATATTCCTATGCGTCCATCATTAAAATGAATAATAGCTGAATTTACACCCATTTCTATGGTTTCTCTGCCAACAAATACAGTTTTTGGTAACCTTGACCATATGAGTCCATTTAGGGCCTCATTTGCATTCTGGGTTTTTCCATGCACACATTTTTTTAACAAATCTTCATCCATTAAATCCTTAAAAATCGGTCGAAGAAGACTCTTTATCCAAAAAGGGATTGTATTGGAGGGTTTATAATCCTTTTGGCCCTTGGACCAGTACTTGCACCAACTGTTGGTATCTCGAGGGCAAAATTTATGACGCTCAAGCGGATCATTTGTGTTTGTGAAATGAAACAGTATTGCATATATGGCTTTTTTCATAGCATAAACATTGGAAAGGTTTGATCTAATTGCCATATCATAATAATTTTGCATGGAATCAATACATTTATCCGTCAGTTGACCTTTTCTAGAGACAGGAGTTTTTGTACCCTTGTAAGATTTAACATGGTTGCGTAATCGGGTTCCTAATCATTTCTGCACATGTCCAACGCATTCAAGCTTAATCGGTGTTAAACTATGTTTTACATATGGTTCAGATCTAACAACATCATTAAAAGAGGGAGTATCACCATCACCAAGATATTCTTTGTAAATTATGTTGTGCTTAATAATTGACCGGTTAAATATATCAACAGCACCAGATGACTCCATCGCACCAGAGGATTTTTCATGATTTATTTGACAGTGGTGATCAATTTTCCATAAATCATATTCAAGTGAACCTTTTTTATTCTACCACATTTTACATCCAAAGCAGTGCTTTGACTTTACTACCATATCCAAACACTTATCACCTGATATCGCAGTTACTACCCCATGCAAAGAGGCATGTTCTCTTTTTTGCCAGGAACCGTCAATGGAAACACGTACACATTTTATGTTACCTGCTAAATCTATTTTTTGAGCTTCTTCAGCAGCACGTTCCATACTACTCTCTGCAACATTTTTGTAGGCTGTCATTAATTTCTTGTTCAACAGTTTAAAAGAGAATGATGCCATGGACTTCAAGTTCATGATAGAGGAAAATTTCTGCATAGATGAAAATCCACAACCTATTTCCCGAAAACCAATTACAGCTCGGGCATTTACATCAAATGTTTTGCGACCTCTAAAATCACTTTTTAGATTGTAGGAAGTCTTAGGAGATGTATAAAAAGGTTTCATCCAATCACATATTGAACATTTTATAAGAATACAATGTGCAAAACCCATTCGCTTTAAATGTTGATCAATAACAACAACGTCAGCACCACAATCAGGACATGGTATAAGTTCACGACAAATATTTGCTAACACATTAAAATGAAGAAATAAGAAAAAGCCTTCAATATTATCAACCAAACCCTCTGAGTTAAACTGATCAACAGTATAAGAAATCTTTTTTGCTGAGGATGATTGAAGGGATTCACCAATAACACAAGGTGTCACAGTAAACTTTGGTCGTTTTAAAAAAATACCATTCCATTTTCTTTTTTTGCTTCGAGAAAATTTTTTTTTACTTTTTGATGTGTTCTTTATATTCTTATTTTTACTACTATCTTCATGAAATTCCATTGTATTATTAATTAAAACAATACGGTTCTCTAAAGAACAAATTTTTGTAAATAATATAAAGTATAAAATGTTCAATCAGCTTATTTATCTGTCTGAGTAACGTTTGTGACTTCAAAGTATGACCGCTAAAGATTGCAGATATATCAGGGTTAGCAGATAAAAGTATCACTCAAAAGGCGATCAAAGTCCAACTGCTAATTTAATATAATTTATGCGTAAATTAATTGTTTGAGAAAAAAACAAAATGGAGCGCAATAAGAAAGTTGCGTAAATTTTTAAGTCAATTTATTCTAGCGCTATATAAGAAAAATAAACTTTGTTTACAAGGAATATTATAAAATAATAAACTGTTTCTTGTTTACAACATAATTTTTTTAGAACTTTTGAACATTAATAAAATGCAAAAGAAAAAATGATTTTAATTTTTTTTTGATATGAATTTTTTACATCTTATATAATTATCTATATTGAAGTTATATAAATACTATATAATGCTACTAGTTACATAAATAGTTATTAAATAATCTCTTTTCATAAACACTACTTATATAAATAGTTACTAAATAATCTATTTTTATAAATACTACTAGTTACATAAATATTTATTAAATAATATCTTTGAGGTATGAAGTAATAAGTACAACCTTTCGCTTTTTCACATTATTTTATATTTCTGAAAAGCAAAGGTCTAAGTGTTATGCATTCGGTTATATTTTAACAAAGCTTATTTAAGCTTTCTACTCGAATAAAAAATTAATAAAGTGTTAAACTGTTGTTGTTGAATTATATTCAACTTTCGTTTCAACGCGAACAAAGAAAAAGGATAAATAAAATACATCTACACTTTAAATTAAAAATGTAAATAGCTCTAAAAATGTAAATAGCTCTAAAAAATGTCCTGTATCTTGTAATAGATAAAAAAAAACCGTTCATAATTATTAAAAAAAAACAAACCTTTTTATAGAATTATTTACCTTGTTGACATTATTCTATTTACACAAAAATGTTAACTAAATCAAAGACAATGAAGAATTGAATGTTATGAAAACAAGGCACCGTGATATTGACAAAACAACAATTATAAAATCACAATAAGATTAACGGTTTCAAAACAGATATAACAGTGGCAATTATAACAATATTGAAGTTCACTTTTGTTCCTTCACGGCTGTAAGAGTAACATGTGCTCTCGAAGCTTTTTTTAGCATATTTTATTTAATTTTGCATATGTAATTTCCGCATAATTACGTATAATTTTCAAGTGGACTTTGATCGCCTTTTGAGTGATACTTTCGTTCGATAACCATATATCAGCCAAATATATCGGCAACTAGCACCAGCCCTTTTAATTAATTTGCTAATTTTTTTAGCCTATTTGAAGAATACAAACCGTTGAAAACAAATAGTAGATTAACTAGGATTTTAATATTTTGATTTACTGAGTAATAACTAAATTCGGACAAAAAAAATAAATTAAAAGAAATCAAATTTCTGACCTTTTATCCCTCACAGTACAACAGGTGAGAATGTATCTGTCTGGAAGGTATTCGTTTAAAGCACATGAACCACGTCAAGGTTCCTTCCTATTCATGTGTACGATTTTTTATGCAGAACGACTGAAGGTGTATGACAGAAAAATACACAATCAGTTAGCAAACTGTTTTTCCTTGCACATTTTCATTAATTGACAAACAGAAAACTTAATCATAAAAGATAGAGTGTATTATGACAATAAAATAAGTTATTTTTATACATTTATAAAGTTAAAAAATCCCAGTTGATAAAAATCGCTTAAAAATATACACAAACCGTCTAAATCACAAGCCTAGAATCGTAGTTGCAATTTAGAACAACAAAAAATAAAAATGTGCAAGTTATTTAGTAATACTGTTCAGGAGAGTTTCCTGAACAATATAACAATTTTAACATTATAACAATTTTAACAATATAACAACTTTTTCTAAAACAAAAATCCCCTCAGAAAGTAAACTGCTAATTTAATGAAATAAAAATTGGGATAAATAGGGGAAGTGGGGGTATAACCGCCCCTGCAACGTTTGATATGAAGATAAAAACGAAATGTGTTTTTTTAACAGTTTATTTCAATAACCACATCATTAAGCTTTAAATTGATGCAATTAAGAAAAAAATTTATTGGTTTTTGAAAATGTTATTACACAAACGGTACAATTAGTAAAAAAAACGGTTTTGCCCCCATTGTGAGGCACAACAGCACCCTCACAAAAAACAATGGAGGTACACCTTTCATGGTACATTTTCTTGACAATTTTCACAGCTCAGATTATTTGATAATTTTGTTTCATGTTTGCATACTGATACTGCAGGCATTCTTTGTATTTACATTTTGAGTTCTGCCCCAGAAGAGAGTTTTTAGAAAGAATTCAGTTTCATAGCTTGCTTATTAGATTATGTTGATATCAAAAATGGTTTTTACTTCATGAAATAATGCTGATAACACATATCTTTAACACTAAAATCAAATATTGCTTAATTCTCAAAAGTCTATGAAAATAGATGTAAATATAATATTTTTATCAAAATAAACATTATTATGCACAACTTCTCAGAAACGTAACAGGCACTGTTTTTAACATATGCAAAATGAAGGTAACTGTTTTACTAACGCGTGGTGTTTTTTGCCACATTAGATAACATTTTTCAAAGGGAAATGTTAAAAGGTGGTTGTGCCTCCATATATGGTTATGCCCCCACTTCCCCTACTGTACTGTTTCAACCAGAAAGGTTTTCCATAACTCTTTAATTACTAAAATGTTTAAATGTTTTAAACTTTATTTTTACTAATTTTGGATTTTAAGGTTAAAAAATAAGTTTATGGCCAAATACATTTTTAGGCAACAAAACATTTTTTTTTTACCCTACATATACATACAAATAAATTAGATAATTATTTGATTTTACAAAAACATTTATAAAGATGTTTGAATATTTAAACATCCTAAATAATTAATAACAATTAAAAATGTATTTAAACTGAATCACTGAAGTGTTTAAGCTCTTACGAAAGATTTAACTTGTTATTACCATTTCTTTGCATTAACTTTTTGATAACTTCTTGATTATCTGGAACTATATCTCTATGTGTATACATCAATGCTAAACCATTCAAACGATCTCCAGCCATAGTTGATCTTGACCAGGTTTTTAATCTGCGAAGATTTGAAATAGATCTTTCACAAGATCATGATGTCACAGGTGAAGTTGCTAATAACTGCAAACAAACAAAAATATTGGCAAAAGTTTTTATACATGAAATCGGCTTTATAGTATCAGACACATTGTTTGGAATACTTGGAATAATTGTGTCTGATACTATAAAGAATATCTCCTAAAGACCACACTCTGCATCTAAAGCTAATGGATTTGGCAAATCTTCAGAATAAAAATCAGAAAAAATTTTGAAGCTCTCCCTCCAATTTAGCATCAAGATAACACCTATCATGAAAATCATCAACTTTGTTTTTAATAGCCGTAATTCTATCAGTCAAACAATGTATAAGATCTATACCAGTTTGAATATCTAAACTGCTGGATTGTAACATTTTGGTCACTACAAGCGTTTCATCAAAAACAGCTCTAGTCACAACCAAAGAATTAATAAATTCAAAGGTAGTGACCAATTTCAATAAAGATGTAGCTCTTTGGCAGTCTGCCCCAAACTTATTTATGTCATTGCTTATAGCTTCAAACTATTGGAATATACAACTCCTGAAATGTGTCCAAACAATCTATTCTTTCAAGCAACCTAGTTCAACAAACATCTTTAAGTTTTTTTTTCTTTTTATCGGGACAGTGTTCTAAAATCATTGTCTCCAAGACAAAATTTCTATTGATAGAAAGATTAAAATAATAAGAAACCTCTTTTACATGGTCCATAGCATTACAGAGAAGTCGAACTTTGCAAGAATTACATAATGCTAGATTTAATCGATGACTAAAACGATGGGTGTATAAACCCTTGTTGTTAAACTTTAAAATTCGTGCAGCAACTCCCTTTTTTGTTCCAGCTACAGCTCCAGCACCATCATAACTTTGGCCTCGACAATTACTAATATCTAAACCAAGAGGTGCAATGGTGTCTAAAATGTTAATAGATAGACTTTCCCCATATAAACAATTGTTGTTGTGTATGAACTTAACAAAGTCTTCAACAATGTTATTACTACTGTCAACATAACGCAACACTAAGACATTTGCGACTTGTTTGAAACATCGATGGCTTCATCGGATAAAATTGAAAAAAATTTAGCAGATTTAATATTTGAGACATTTTTCTTGTGGTTTTTTAGATGATGTTCTAATTCAGTATCACCACCTCTTACACGATAATTAAGAATCTCCATAAAGTTTCCAACATTACAAGAGGTACTATATTGGCCAACTTCTGAGTGATATTTGGAGTCGTCGTCGTTATGACCTCTTAGAGCAAGTCCTTGACGGCCACACAAAACAATAGTATCAATTATTGGCCCAAGTTTTTTTTTATTCTCAGATATCTCTGCAATGGTATTTTGATCTATGATATCATAAAAAGGATTTGTATCGCCAGCAGCTTGCCTCATAACATCATTAAAAAGACTGCGTTTGTGAATGCAAACCATTTATGTTCGGATCGCAATGGCATTTTAAGGCTGGAACAGCATCATTAAAATTTTTAAGTGGTTCTTAAAACAACACAGAAAGCTTGTATTTTTTTTTAGGAAAATCATCTCCAAACAATACACATGCGTGCAAAACCCACCATTCAACTTTATTAGATACCTTTTTTTTAAATGTTCTATTTTGCTATATTTTATTTAATATAGAACAATATATAAAGTTAATAAAACTGCTTTATTTTTGTCGATTTTTTTCCTTCCGTACTTTAAGTAAATCGCACTCGTAAATAACTCAGTACCGCAAGTAAACTACGTCCTAAATCACACTCGCAAATTGTCGGTAATTACCGAGTTTAGGGGGGGGGGGTGCGCCAATTACACGTCCGCCCCATTCAATTTTTTGGAATAAAAAAGCCAAGAAAATGTATTTAGCCATTTCATTAAAAACTTTCTATTATTTAGCAATGCGCGTATCCTTCGATTTACGGCACCGATCTTGTAATGAAAAACTTCGACCATTTTAGTGAAGCGTGCAAGGCGTATGTGTTGTAAGAGTCATTTTTTGTAAGAATCAGGCAGTCAATGGAAGTGACCTCCTCCAAATTGCTTGAATTTTTTATATATTGATCAGAATATAGAGAAAACCTGTTGGGGAAAAAAAAAATTTCAAAAATGTTTCGTTTACTCGGATTCTGGGCTTAAATTTTTGAGATTTTTTAAAAAATTTTTAGAAATTTAGTTTTGCCACCTTTGAACCCATTTTTTTGGCAAGGCAAAAAGTTGCACATAGCTTTTGCAGTTAATATCAGACGTAACTCAAAAGCTCTCTCCAAAAAATATAAAAAGTTGCGTGACACTGTGCGGTTGGCTAATTATCATAGTTCAAAAGTACAAAATCAATCAGTTTTGTCAATTTTTAATCGGAGTTAATTCTAGCGGCGAAGAGTTGTACACAATTTTTCTTTTAGGATTTGAAATTATCAAAGGTATTGAGTCTAAAAATGCAAAGAAAGTTATGTGATACCTAAGGCCTATTAATATATTAAGGCTTGAAATTGGAAAAAAATGTTATAGTATACTTACAAAATGAGCTATTACGGCAGAGGCGCTAAGTTTTGTAAAAATATAATCATGTTAAATGGTCAATATAAGATGACCCTAACATAGTTTAAAAAAAAACTCATGTGATCTTTAGATATTATAAAAATAAAGGTACAAATTGTTAAAAATGATTAAGTACGAAGAGATATTTTTTTGGACACACAGATGAGGTTTTCGCTCACAATAAAATTTCTATCATCCAAAATTAGCAATTAGCATTACACAAAACATTGCACGTAATGTTAAGAAAAAATTTAAGCGTTTCTGACTATGATATAGAAATCATAACAATTGAAATAAATAATAATAAAAAATAATACATGATTAGAAGTAAATTATTTAAATTTACGTCATAACCAAATAACTTGTGGTGATCGAATGGAAGAAGAATCGCTGATATCACGATTGTGGAGAAACAAGTTAGTGGGCGGTTGTTTACTTTACCATAAAAATGTCTTAACTTTATTTTAATGATCTTTAAAGTTTGCATAAATAGAGTAGATATTTTATCATTGCTATTGAGAAATAGGTACTGCATAAATAGAACTTGTTTTTAGTTGAGTATGGAACAAAACAAGTATTTTTATGAAAACTGTTGTTGCTTTTCAAAAGGAAATTGTGGATCATTCAAAAAACATAAAATTATAAACAAAATGTTCTACATTCATTAGCTGGGAGATGTTGATGTTAAGAAACACCTCATCAACTTAAAGGTAATTATGTATTTTAAATTTACGCAGACTGTAATATAATTTTTATAATTACATACTTTATAACTTCTCTGCAATAAGATTTTGAGACAAAGTTCTTTAAACAAAAAAAAAATAGCTCTTTTAATTAATTCCTCACTCTTTTAATAAATAATCACTAAACTAATCACACTCTTGCAATATTGTATTTTAATAATAACAACAATGTATTTCAAACTTGTAAACATTTTTCGTAAAGAGTCAGATTATAAACAATGCTTTAAATGACACACTTAATAATTGTTTAAAAAATTGTTTTTAGGTCATGCGATTAAACGATAATAATATTTGGGAAGAAAATGGACTTATTGCAAATAGACTTAAAAGAAATTTTGAAAAGGATGAACAAATATGTGCTTTTCACCGGTACACGTTTGGTATTGCATGGAGTCCTCCAAAAACATGCTTTCATCCTCACCATATAAATATAAAAGGAAAAAAATCTCCCGCTTTAAGGGCGTCACCAATACATGTCGTCATATCAATGTTAAAGCGATACAATGAAGTATTTTCAGTTGATGCAATGCTGTGTTTTACCCATTTAAAGCAAGAAACTGCTTTATCTAGAGTCAATGAAAACACCAATTTATGTACAGAAACACAAACACAACAAGAACAAACATATATGACACCTGCTACTCCAGATGAAGAATTTGATCCCGGTGAAATTAATGTTTCATAGGAGATTTTGGACGAATCTCTAAGAAGCCGTGAGAGTGTAACTGAGGTTCTTAATGCAAGTCCAATAAAATTTAGATTAAAAAGGAAGTTCGAATATCTGGAAGATACTACTAAAGATAAGTTAAAACGCAAGTATGTTCGCCTAGAAAACTTATTAAAGAAAAAATTTGCGGAAGCTGTTGCTCCTGGACAAGAGGAAATACTTATAGATTTTCTTAACAGTAAAAATGTTGATGAAATAAATAGCCCTCTCCCAATTGAAATTATTCGTGCTCAGAAAGTATATAAGCAAAGTGATTCCATGGGAAAGTTAGTTATCCTCTCATTATTAGACCATACCAAGTATACCAAAAAATTTATAATGAACACATTTGAGTGTACCAAACATCGTATAGAAACAGCAAGAAAATGGCATGCATCTTATAAAGGGTTGGCATTTCCAGAGAAGAAAGTATTCGTCCGATCTAGTCTTGATCAAACAAAGTGTGAACATTTCTTAGACTTTATATTTACAAGCGGTATTTTGCATGATGTTGCTTATGGAATAACCAAATTAAAATACGACAGCGGTGAAGAACAAAAGATAGTGCATGCAATACTGACGACAAAATATAGCCACGCTATCATGTTCTATCGAAAAAGTTGTAGTGAAAACAATTATATACCATTATCTGATTCAAGTTTGTGGAAAGTATTGCATGCAATAAAACCTTCAAGTCAAAAAAGCTTAGCTGGATTAGATGATGTTACTGCTTCAGGCATGAATGGTTTTCAAACATTACAAAAATTGGCACAAAGATTTAGTTCTAAATCGAAGCTGCCCTTGAAAAAGGAAAAAGGTATTTGAAAACAAGTTATCAAACCAATTGTAGTGTCAATGACTCAAACATTTCTTCTCATAGCTCAAAACATGCCTTATCAGATCCATCTGAAAAAAATCTTCAATCCAACACAGAGATATCAGAAGTGGTATGTGCCTATTGCTATGATTTGTGCAAAGCTATCGAGATGATCAAAGAACTAACAATTCAAAATTCTGACGATGCTGATTCTATCTATGATTTGGAAATTGCTGTAAAGGATGTATTCAACTACATAAAACACCTGATGAGAGATTCTAAACAGAAAAAGGCAAAAATCGAAGCTTTTAAGCAATTAAACGATGAAACTGCTTTCTGGCTTAAAGATTTTTGTCAAAAAATTCTTCCGGTTCGATACAGAGAGGGCCAAAAAGAGTATTTTGGCAAGAAAGGAATGAGTTTACATGTGGATATATTCTTCATAAAAATAGCAGGAAAGTTATTCAAACGTGTTTACTTTACTTCAATGTATAGGTGTGATCAGGGAATAGGTGATGTTGTTTCGTTAGCCACTGCAGTTTTAGACCAATTCAGAATTGATCAACCGCATATCAAGAAAATGTTTACCAAATCTGATAATGCCGGCTGCTATCAGGGAAATCTTTTAGCTGAAGCAATCTACAATGTATGCAAAGAGAGAGATATAAAGTTGCTGAGATATGATTATAATGACCCCTGTTGTGGAAAAGATCAATGTGACAGAGAGAGTGCAGTTGTAAAGACAATTTTAAGGAGTTACGTTGACTCTGGTAATAATCTTTTGACTGCTGAAGATATACACAAGGCTATGCATTATAGTTTTGGCGCTAAAGATGCAAAAGTAGCAGTTGCTCAAATTAGCAATGATAAAACTGTAGTTACTGGACCAAAGATTAAGAACATTAGCAACTATCACTCATTTGAGTTTGGTGAGAAAAGTATGAAGATGTGGCGTTATTTCAATATCGGAGAGGGAATTGAACAAGAGTATGGAAATCTTAAAATTCAACCCTCGATTAAGTTGTTGTTGCCATATAGCAAAACAGATAATTCAATTAAGCGTAACAAGTCACTTAAGGAAAAACAGAAAAGAAGTGACAGACAATTATATTTATTAAGATTTTGCACTGAAATAAATTGTACTTTATCATTTGGAAGCAATGCTGAGTTAGAAGAACACATGCTATCCGGTCTTCATACAGTTCCGAAATCATTAACATCATTGGATAAAGTTCGCAACTCGTTTGTTCATAAGATGAAAATTACTTCACAACTAAATATGCCAATTTCTTCATCCTCTAACAGTGCTTCCGTAAAAGACAAACCGCATTGCATGAACATTTTTCTATTGCAAGGTTGGGCATTACCAGTTCGAAGTTTTTTTAGATTTTCAAATCAGCAGAAAGAACTGTTGTATAAATACTTTATTCGTGGAGAAGAATCAAGTAATAAAATGAGCCCTGAGCAGGTTCACATGCAGCTGAGGAGAGAACTTTCGCCCGATCAATATGTAACTAGCCAACAGATAAGATCTTTATTTTCAAGGTAGGCATTGTTGCTATCAAAATTTTTGCAAATTAGATTATGTTTCTGGCTGTTAAATAGTTCTTTTACAAATATGAAAATAAAATTTAGGTGAAAGTTATAATTTTGTGTGTTTGTTTACATATGTTTAAAAATATGTACAATTGATATTGTTATAGATTTAGTAACCTGAAAAGAAAAGGTAAGCTGGTAGAACCGACAACAGAAAATAATGAAAATAGTCAGGTTAACGATAACAAAGAAGTTTATGGCGAAAATGATGACTTTAATCTGACAGGAGACAATGAAAATGATAATAAATATGAGGAAGACATCGCCAATCTTGCAAAAGAAATTTGTCTTGTATGGAAAGTGAATGATTGGGTTGCTGTTGTATATGAAAAACAATGGAATATTGGATATATTGTGGAGGTAATATTATTCAAAGTATATATTAGTTTCAAGTTTTTATTTTGTTTTACAAAACAGTGCTCTAAAATAAAAGGAATATAAATAAAATGTAAAAATAATTTCAGAATGACATTATATAAGACTTTACAAGTTTTATTGAATGTAAGCAAAATTAAACAAATCATAAACTCTTTATTATATTATTTTAAATGTTGCGCTAATACTTTTAGGTATCTATAACTGGGATCAGAGTTAATTGTATGATTAACGGGCAAGAGAAAAATACTTTTCGCTGGCCAGTTACTACCGAGGAGATAAATAACCAAACAGATAAAATTATCTGTATAGTAAATGCTCCTTTTCTAATCAGTGGTTGTGGCGATTATTCATTATCCGAAGAAGACCATAATACAGTCATATCATTATTCTTAGAGAAACTTACTGCAGTAGAATAGAAATTATGTGTGATGTGGTGGATAATGTGTGTAAATGACTCTATTAATAAATGAAAAACTAATTTTTAAATGGAAAAACATTTAAATGTTTGATTTATGTTTTATTTAATTAGCAATATAGTTATCTTGATGTTAGATTTTTGTTCAGTTTTTTATTCATGTTATATCATCCGTGTGACAAAATCACACGAATTTTTTTTATTATTATGTTAGGACCTTTTTGTATTGACAGTTGGATATGTTTACATTTTTACAAAACTAAGCGCCTCTGCCGTAATGGTTCATTTTGTAAGTATACTAAAACATTTTTTTCCAATTTCAAGCCTTAATATATTAATAGGCCTTAGGTATCACATAACTTTCTTCGCATTTTTAGACTCAATACCTTTGATAATTTCAAATCCTAAAAGAAAAGTTGTGTGCAATACTTCGCCGCTAGATTTAACTCCGATTAAAAATTGACAAAACTGATTGATTTTGTACTTTTGAACTATGATAATTAGCCAATCGCACAGTGTCACGCAACTTTTTTATATTTTTTGGAGAGAGCTTTTGAGTTACGTCTGATATTAACTACAAAAGCAACGTGAGCAAAATGTGCAACGTTTTGCCTTGCCAAAAAAATGGGTTCAAAGGTGGAAAAAACTAAATTTCGTAGTTTGCCAACTGTTATAGAAGTACCGTTTAAAAAATTAAACCTTAAGCGTAATCGATAAAAGTATAATTTTAAACACAAATAAAACACAATTTTTAAAAATAAAAGTAGGTATATTTAATATACCTACTTTTATTTTTAAAAATTATTTTTTTTTTAAAAAAAAAAATTATTTGTGTTTAAAATTATATCTTTATCGATTACGCTTAAGGGTTTTTTAATTTTTGTATATACATTTTTTATGAATATGTATAAATATATTATATATGTATATATATATATATATATATATATATATATATATATATATATATATATATATATATATATATATATATATATATATATATATATATATATATATATATATACATAATGTATATATATATAGGTACGCGGAAATCCGTGTTTTACGGAACCGAATTTTATGCTAAAATTTTGTGCCAGGTTTTTTGAACTTTTTTTTAGGTAACGTCAGGCGAACGTTTTTTTGTGGCGTTTCTGTTTAGAAACATTACTAAACTTAAATTATTTTTGAAAAAAAGAATAGTTAAACTTGATTAATATATAACATTTATGTGTGGTTAGTAATTTTTGTATTGCTTTTATTTGTATTAAAAACTTGGTTGTTGTTCTCACATTAAATTATTGTCGAAGAAATGCTCAGATAGTTTGCAAACCTATCCAGATAGTTTTTTACAAGTATTTTTTATCTACATACCAAATTTCATTGAAAAATATTATTGAGCAGTCTATAAAAGTGAGCAGCTTTGGTACCTCATTTCTGTTTTTCTGATTTCCGTAGTGGGTGGTAAGAGGGGTACGAACAAGTTGAATTTTATTAGGTTAGTTTATGTTATATGCATTTTAATTAAAAAATACTATTTATACACACAGACAAAAATGCCAATGTATACTGACATCAGAAAACATGTGATAATATAAAGAAAATTTAAAATATACATTGCAAATGTTTACATAAAAAGGAAAAACTGTTTTTAAAATACCATGCATACCTAGAGCTAGAATTAGTATTATTAAAAATATTTTTAATAATAAAAGTATAATATTGTTTATAATTTTATGTTACATTATTATTCGGCAGTTATACAAGACT